TTGGAAAAATGATCAGCAAACGGAAATAGCCTGGTTGGAAGTCTGGCATTCTTTGATATGGCTGGTTTCTCCGTTTCTAAAAGTTTATTCTCCGTTCGTCGTCTTCTAGTAAGTGCAATGAACGAGGAGGGAGGAAACTTACCTGGCCCTGAAGGTTCTGAAATTGCTCTGTAATCGCGTTTGAAATACATGGCTGCATGGTGGTTTGTCATTGTTATTGGCCACTGCATCTTGGAACATTCGATTTTACGGTCGCTGCTGAATATTCAGGCTACGAGCGCTGATTTCTGAGAGGGGAGAGACAAGGCCATTTTTCATCTCGGTGACAAGCAGCGCTGTGGCGAATTTTTCGTCGGTTGCTAACAACCGAGTCCATAACTCTCTGCCGTAACTTGGAGCCTGAGCCGCGGCACGGCAACAGCTGTGAATGGGGCAAAAAGCCGTCAGCCGTTGCCGTTCGTCGCTCAATTCGTCGTTGGAGACGACAGCCGCGATTACGGTAAAACGGCACCAGTGCACCACACCGGCCACTTCTGCCTGCGTTGCGACGTCCACAGCTGAAACAGCACTGTACAGTTTATTTAGCCCTTCGAAACGCAAGCAACTTCAATCACTCCTTTTTGGCATTACTCCTAGTTTTCAAAAATATTTAGTTGCCATTTCCGGAATTTACATTACGATATGCGTGAATGTTCGCAAGGATAGCGCAACCACGAGTGTCTACTCTCTAATTATGGTATCGTTCACCGATCGACGATGCTCTGCTTAAATACGACATCTCTTAAATAAGAGGAAACTCTCAGGTCATGACCGTGAGTTCTGACAACTTAAGGATGTGATTAATTTTCTTCGTCCTCCAAATGGGGTAAGCACATATATCAGTCGCCATTAATAGCTGTTCGTAACTGACTACCTGAAATATAACCTGCAGCCACAGTATTTTTGTCACGGATAAATATTGCTTCATTTTCGTATTATGCTATTCAATATATCTTATTGCATTCTTTGCATTGCAATGGACAACTAAATGCGGCAACGAGATCACGATGCCCAAGTGAGCAATGAGTGCTTTGTAAACTGGAGTCGCACTCCGTAGCAGTCGTGGGGCACAGGAAGCACTCGCCGTCATTCAATAATATTTTGATATTGTGTGATCTGATTTTTAATCAGTTGTATCATTTTTAAATTGGAAGGCAGTCGAATTAATGTCATCCAAATTAAAACTCGAAAACTTGTCACGTAACTTGATGTAGAATGATCGACATCGTTCTCATAAATATTGATCGGTGGACCAGTTTGCAACTGTGCCGAAAAGCGCGTTGTGAACCGATGTGGTCCCAACTGAAGATTGTTGTCCATGAAACCGGCAAGTACGACTATCATCAGTGAAAAGATGGTAGCGCTTCTGATGGGACAGATGTCATTTCCATTTCCTAGTACTGCTGTGATTGGCACCGCCAGTGGCGGGTAATCACGCTGGTCATCGTCGCCTAGTTCGTGCCGTACAGTCATTTCCATTGCCTACGAGTAGCAAGAGGCATCATCGCTCATTCATTCGGTTTAGTCCCATGAGTCAGCAGTTTTAGAGTTTTTGAAGAACACTACTGCTGATGTATGAATCACTGTAGTGGCAGCTCGGATCAGATCGGAGTTTTACTCGTTTCTTCGTTGCAGGTCGCTGTCTTGATCCACTGCCGTCAATCGGCTTGTCCGCCGAACCCCAGATCGGATGAATATGTTCCGTTGGCGGTTCTAGTCTTGTTTCGAAACAGCCCTGCCCGCGTTGGCTAGCATGCTGGTATCTCATCGTCTTTTCAATACTTTCCTCGTCCGTCTTCCTCACTCTCGCCTCTGCAGCTGCACATCGTCTCCTCCGGCTTTGCCCACGCCTGTTATTTCGATCAATGACCTCCACGCAAGGAATTGACACAAAATTTAGTGGTCGTAACGCGGGTTGCGACCGCCATCGCCCCAGCGAAAAAATGTCATTCCGTCAGCTTTGTTCCTCATTCTCGTCCGGCGCCATTACGGCGCGTCGACGGCCCCGCTAACCTCCGCACTGTCAGGCTACCGGTTGATGCCTATTTGATACCGTGCCATGTCAAGCAGCCTTACTCCAATCGGTCACCTGTGGCCGGCACTCTCTTTAATCATCGCAATTGCTGCTGCAGTTGGATTCTACTGTCCGTATTGGATATGTGGTGAACTGGTGCACGACCAGCTAGCGATTCCAGCATCGTTCAATTCGTTTCGAAGATGCAACTATCCGACAGTGGCAGGAAGCATGGGTCGTCGGGAGATCAGCCTCCAGTGCTCGCGATACGCAACATTCAGCGACATCCCAACCATATGGTGGAAGATGGCAACGGTGATCATAGCCACGGCGATCGTATTCGCCTTTCTGCTCGCCATCGTCGCCATGCCTGCCTATTTCACCCACGATGTCATCACGCATACTGGGGCGCAATTGATCGGCGTTCTGCAGATGATATCAGGTACTGTTCAAAGTATGTTTTTTTTGGTAGCGATTTTAGGTAGATCTGAGTATTTGCCCTTTGGACCATTCTAGCCCAGTACCTCTTACCAACTTGACCGCTGTTAGGTATATCAGCTAATGAGCAGATGATATAATAAAGTCCGTGATTATTCCATTTTTTAGTAACATTGTTAACACTGGACATACATCGATTTCGATTTGACTTCATTTGCAGTCATTCATAATCTGAAAATTTATTGAAACAACTTTCGCACAAAGAAAAGCTAAAGTTTGTTGGCAATAATTCCTGAACTGTTTAGCTTCATGTCATGCTCTTAAGCATAGCAGTATTATCCATGAACTTTTATTTCAAGCAATGTCAAAGCTGATTAATTTTTGATTGAGAAAAATGTTTTAAAGCTGTTTCTTGTTATAACAAACACTGTTCAAGAAAGAAATGATCAATTAAGAAACGGAGAAGTGTTCTTTCGACTGAAGTTTCTGTCCGTTACCTGACGTCAAAAGATTGTTAAGCATTATGTCACCCTTGTCTACCGCCATTCTTGCCAGCAAGCGACCAAACTTCATCCTTTATGACAATACAAAAAAATTAGCCTCAGTTCCCTGTGCGCCTATCGACCGTTTCCATGGCGGTGGTTCGGCGTTCGACTGACGAGATGCTGCTCAGAATCCCAGGTGAAAAGCTACCATCTGGTAAACAGACCTGGACTTGCCTCGCCGTTTGACCTACATCTGTAGATCACTAGTAAGGGAAGAAACGTTAAATTAGCTAATGGAGGAAATATTACAGATAGTCTGCCACATCCTTGGTCTCTGCGATACGCGACGGCAGAAGGAGATGTTTGGTATCTTGAAAGACGGTCCTTGGATTTGGCTAGGAAGAGAAAAGGGAGCGAAGAAGAGAGGAGGAAGCAGATTTGTAGTCAGGAAAAGCTGGTCCCCAACGATCGTCTCCTTCCATGTGAGGTTATCAACACTGGTCGTGCTGCACCTCCAGATGAACAAGAGGAGAGGAGGACCTTGAAGATCCTCCAAATCTATGCTCCTATAGGTACAGCCGGAGAGCAGGCAGTGCAAGAATTCTAGAAAAAACTGGAAGGGGCGTTGGTCTCAGAGTTTAAATATCCTCATCATACGAGACTTTAATGCCAAGGTAGGACGAGGAAGAGCCAGCGAAATATTTTTGTTGGTAGGTGCGGCACTGGAGATAGAAATGAGCGAGAAAACTGACTGGTAACCATGGCAGAAACGGCACACCTGCGCATTGGCAACATCTGGT